TCAAGCTGAACGCTGTGCCCCTAAATTGAGATCCTCATTATTTTTGTTTTAGATAAACACAGAAAAAATATATTAATTAAATTAATTATAATAATGAAAAAAATGTTATCCTGTAGTTATATAGTAAAAACGAGTATTTTGCTCAGAATATTTTGCCCAGAGGGTTAAATAGCTGTGATACTGTGATATAGTTATTTTGTCAGTAGTTTATAGTGTAGCTTTTTTATGAGATGAATTGTTTCTAATTAGCAGTAGCTTATATCTGAAGTTTGAAAAAAAAAAAATAAATAAAATAAAGAAAGAATGAGAGTTTGTTTAAATTTTTTTACATCTTTAATGTAAAAAGTTTTTTTAAGATTATAAAGATTGTAGATCAATATCAGCTATCGGATGACCTATCAGCCATAATATAAAAACAATTACTGATCATATCAGCTCAAATGTCTATGGCAGTTCCTATTCACTATTCAAATAATCTGATTATTTTGATATTACAGATGTTGTATGGGGCGTCATTGATTGAATAAACCTTCTTCTCTACAGATCCCATATTGAAGGTCACTCTTATTTAACTTCACGCTTGGGCTGTAAATGGGTATTTTCAGATCCACCCATTTAGGGATAAAACAATCAATGACTGAGCTCTTCCTGTTCAGGGCAGTTATCCCGGTCCAAATCCTGTTAGGGAATTCTACTACATATATGCCTAGCCTAGCATGGATGAGAGCAGTGAGAGCAGCAATAACCTCCCAGGGTAAACAGAACAGAACCAAAATAATGTATTGCAGATATTGTTAAAGTTCAATAATTTTATGACACATTTTAGAATTAGTCTGATTCAAAGGAGAATCAGAAGGCTGAAGCCTGACTGACATAGGAGGAGTTGGGGATGGAGGAGGGTAATTAGCTATTGAGCAATGCGAAAACTGCTGATAATACTGAGGGACCTTATATATTAGATATGATAGGCTTAGATAGGTGTCGTATTCCCATAGGTAGATGGGGATCAGATGATAGTCAGCTGATGTGAGCTTGACTAACGTGACCTGCCAGAACTAACGCTACGCTTGATATATATTTATATATACAGGGCCTAAAACTAACTTTTTGCCAAACCTGCCAATGGCCGGTGACGTGATAACATTTACCAGCCAAAAAATGTTTTTATCGGCCATTAAACTCTTTTTGCAAAAGCAGGCAGTCATTACTACTACAATGACTAAACATATTTACAATGTTTTTAATTTGTCCTTTACTTTACTTACAAGAAAAAACAACAACAAACAGATTTATTGATTTATCTTTTTTTTCCCTAAAAAATTTGAGATTATTGTCCTTTGCATGTTTTGGGCAAACGGAGCAGGCCATCGTGTTACGCCTGTTTCACACATACTCAGTTTGCAGTGTGTATGTGGTGCTTTTTTTTTTTCCGCACCCATGTTAATGGCTTAGAGCAGGGCTATTCAATTAGCTTCATTTGAGGGCCAGATTATCAAACTGAAAATTTGAAGGGGACCAAGGGGATGGGGGCCATCCTGATCTCTTTCTGGGGGGACCTATACAATTAGAAATTAAATTGAAATCTAAAATCTATTAAAGGTTAACATTAGTGCTGTCTTTCAATCGATTACAAAAATAATTAATCACACATTTTTCTGTAGTTAATCATGATTAATCGCATTTGTATATTGTCATAATTTCACATTGAACCTCTAAATTAATGTAGAAACAACAAAGATAGTATATTTTAAATATGTTTTTAATGGCATCTTTTTACTAAGTTGCCTATTATTAAAGGGCTCATATGATGCGATTAGAGCAGGGCTATTCAATTAGCTTCATTTGAGGGCCAGATTATCGAACAGAAATTTGAAGGGGGCCAAGGGGGTCCCGATCTCTTTCTGGGGGGACCTATAAAATTTGAAATTAAATTGAAATCTAAAATCTATAAAAGGTTAACATTAGTGCTGTCTTTCAATCACTAAAAATAATTAATCACACATTTTTCTGTAGTTAATCATGATTAATCGCATTTGTATATTGTCATAATTTCACATTGAACCTCTAAATTTTTTGAACATTAAAGCATGTCAACATATTCTGTTACACCAAATACACAAAATAATGATCTTTAAAAAAGCATCATATGACCCCTTTAATGAAGAATTGATACCAATACTGCTACTGGTGTCTCTATTAAATTCATTTCCCCTCAATTTTACCTATTAATTATAGCCATTCAACATTACAGGATAATTGAAAGCACTTATTTTTAACAGTTAGTAGGCTCTGAAATATTAAGTGATTTTAAAACAATTTTCACATAAACTATACATTTGTATAAGCATAAACTAAACAGATTAATCTTTATTCAAGCTACAAAAGTTAATCAGCGACTAGAGCAGTCGAGTGATATCTCTTTTTCTTTTGTTCTTTGATTTACATCAATCACAGACTTTAGCAGGTTTTACTTTAAGAGCAGCACTGTCTCTTTAAAACCTGATGACGCGGATCTGACACATTTCCTATTTTCTCCAAACTCTTTACGGTCTTTTAAGACTTTATAACTCATTTGAGACTACGTTTACGAGGTAACTCGCCAAAACCGCATATTTTGACATAATTGTGTTTTCGGCCGTTGAAGCGCTATTGGTGAACTGTCTGAAGGGGCTCAGCGTATGTGTACAGCTGAACGAGCAACCTTTTAAACTATAGCCTACTTCAATGCACAGTAGTGAAGCCTTCTATTTTATCCCAATTTAGCAATTGTGAATGGTTTGTGTGTTGGTAAGCAATTTTTTATTCAGTGTTTTCATGAAAGCCTTATTTTTATGCTTTTTTTAAATTTATTTGCGAACGACACATCACTACTGCAGTTTCTGCGGCGTAACCCCAGGTATGTGTCGCCACATTCTCGGGTTATGAAGAATAAAGAAGGGAAAAGTTAATCTTCCGAAATGAAGCAGCATTTTTTATTTTTATTTTTTTTATTCTTTTTTTTTTTTATATATATTTTTTTTAGGAGCCCCTTCTCCAGTGTTATCCCAAAAGTGAAATATCTAGACAGGGGACCTGAGTTACACACCAAGGATATACTGCACTGCCAGTGTTTTTTTTTATTTTTTTTAAGAAAAGCTTTGAAGAACAGAGCAGCTCTTCTGTGTCTCAGAGCCAGCATGAATTTCTATTCTCATCAGGTTTCTCAGATGATGCCGCTGATGGCAAAGCTGCATCATCACTGTCAGCTATCCCAGAATTCCTCCTGCTTTGAGAGCGCCAGCTCTGCATGATACAGGAGCCAACAATGAATATCGCACATATCTGAGTCAACAGCTTTAAAAAGACACACACACACAAACACACTCGCACACTCACGCATCTCTACAGTCAATAGTCCCAATGCTTTCTGAAGTTGTACACTTATGAAACGTCCCATATTCATTTCCATCCCAACTGGAGCAGCTAAAAATGTAAATACACCCATTTTAAAAGTATATTTTATTTTGTACAAACAATAGTGCATATGAAATATGTAAAATGCACATATTTACACAATGAATTGGAGTAAATCTGTAAATATTTCACATCTGTTCTCTGCAAGCAGAGTGTTTATTTTTTATTTTTTCACAGCAGATAATTTCATTCCATATGAACTTAGAAGTCAACATGAAACTAAAACTGACCCTAATTACATAATATGCACAGCTGGTCTTATAGTACATGCTATTCTTAAGAAAACGTTCTCTGTAAACTTTCATCAAAATGTAATAACTCGCTCCACCTAGGCTGGTACTAGTTAACCCTTCAGTATCAGATAAAAAAAATATTCTGCATTCAGTTTAACTGTCATGAATATGTTATAAACTATCAAAATAATACCAATGTGAGTAAGATTTTATTGGTTTGGCATTAAAAGTCTGTGAGGTCTGTTAAGCAACACATTACAGGCTTTCTGACTGATTGATTGATTTATTTGTTTGTTTATTTATTTATTTGTTTGCTGTGAATTCAAAGCATTCGGTGATAAAAAATGATCACTGGATCTGGAAACACTTAATTTTAAAGTGACAGTACATATGTTACATGCACTTACTATATAATAACAGCAAAGTATGCATAATTACAAGCAACTAACCAAAAAACAAACCCTAACCTTAACCCTACAGTAAGTACATGTTGTTAATTAGTATTACTCAGTACTTATTTGTGTAGTAACAATGTCACCTTAAAATAAAGAGTTAACATGGCTCTTGATTCTACTGCCATGTTTTACCTTTACCCTTTAAATCCATTTATCTATTTTGCATTTATGCATAGTGATTATTGTGACAAACCACCATGTTTTAACTTAAACAAAAAATATATTTTATAATTAATTGTATAAATTGCCAATCTGTAATGTTACCTTTAAAAAGTGTAAAATGTGTAAGAAATGCCCATATTAAGGTGGTAGACAACAGCAACCATGCGGACCCAGAGTTGCATAGAAACTACAGCTAATACATCATTTTCTATGTGCAAGTTGCTTTTTCTTCTTCTAAACAATACATGTTCACAAAAAATTTTCCTACTTGAAACTCTAATGCAAAGCTACACCAAATGTATCTGAAAGGGTCCGTGTTAAAGGGGTCATATGATGTTTTTTTAAAGATCATTATTTTGTGTAAATAAAGTGCTTTTGCTTTCGCCTAGAAACACACAGCGTCTCCTTGACATGGCTGCTTCAACACTAACTGCGGTTACTGACACCATGCCTTCTTTCTTTGCGTGCACATTTGCGGCGGGATTATGCAAATATTTCCACATAGTGGGGTAGATATGTGGGGGCGTGTTAGAATGAGCCGTTTTAGGGGGGCGTGGCAGAGTCTTAACTTTGATAAAGAATATCTCTTTGGATTTGAGACTTTAGTCTTTGCAACTTCAGGGATCTTATCTATGCACAATCAGCTTGTAACACTCCAAAGAGAAAGGAAAACTTGAAATCGCATCATATGACCCCTTTAACCAGTAGCCAAATAGATAGTAGTCAGGCTGTTTCAGGATACTGTTGTTGGTAATGCAGGTGAATTCTGGTCAAAAAGCCTCCTCAAAAGTACATATCAGAGGTGCTTCAAAAGGAACTTATTTCTTTACAAACCACTTCAAACTTAGCTCTGACACAATTGTGTGATTCTAAATCCTTGTAGCAGTTTCTAACTATTTTACCGGTTGTGTCAATCACAGCCTACACAACTCATTAAACCTAATCGAAACCCTAAACGATAACCTCAGTATAGTGCTGGCAGAACATCTAGATATATAGCAGCACTGTTTGTCACAATCAGATCCATGAGTTTTCTGAACTCTGAACTTAATCCATTAGGTCTGAACTTTTCTTTAGAGATGAATGTGTGATTTAGTTTACAGATTTATTCGGCTGTGGCGCAGGGTTTACGCTTAACCGGTTTGCGAAAAAAAAAAAAATTATGTGACTTTATCCTGGTATGTGACAGCCATTTCTCACAATCCAGTCAGATCCTGATGGATGGAATCATGTCTCACCCTATGCTTCAGTGAAACTTTTATTTGACCAAATCATAATGCCATTTGCTAATATCTCCTATTCTCCCAAATATAACACATTACAATGGGTTGTGTATAGAGCGCTACAATGATGATGTGTTTTTGTAGGCCAACCTGGAAGGTTGCATCAACTTGATTGAAAATTACAAGTGGGTATGATGTATTTTATGTTGTAGAATAAAACATGAAGGTATCTTGAGTTTGTGTTAAACAGACCTTTATCAGGCATTTAACCAAAAAACCTTTTAAAAAACCCATAGACTTCAGGATGGAATTGCTGAGATGCATCTTGTTTCTGGGTTCTGGCCTACAAAAAATACATCGTCCCTGCAGCACTCTATAATCTTTCATGTTGACTTTAAAATTCACGTACAGTTCTGGCACTTTCAGCATTCCCAAAGCTACAGCTTCTAGAGTCTGACCTGCATCACAAAGGAGCTCCAAACTCAAAACCGCATTTTGCATTTATTTTCTGCTCACGTCGTCCACTCTTGAAACCACCACCAAGAGTTACAACCACCACTTACCATCACTAGCTCACCTGGAGGCAAAGTTTAGCTTTGGATCAAAGTAACCAAGAGTGAGGACACTTCTCAACGACCTCAGTCCAACAATTCCCACGAACCTGTTGATACCGGCGTTCTGGGGACATGTTTGACTGTCCAGCACTGGCCTCAGTTTACCACAGACATCTCCGGAGGTCTCTGGTGAAAGCTCAAAGGCAGTCCCTGCATAGCGCCACCTGGCCGTGGAGGTAGTCTCTGCACGGACAAAGCCGCTGGTGTTTGGCGCTGACTCCAGCGCAACTGAACAGCAGCGGCTCCTTTTGCTGGAAACACTCTCTCCTGTCCACATGTACAGCTGGAAACACGTGGTTCTTCTCCGCTTCTAAGGACTCACACTGAGCGTTAAGCCTGAAAAAACATACATTCACACGATTTATCTGTTTCAAAGAACTGCAGATGAGAAAAGGGGAAAAAATGCAATCCAGCACAGTGAATAAAGAACAATGACTGCTCATTTTTACAGCGCCCTTGGTTACATGAATATATATATACACTGAACAAAATTATAAACGCAACACTTTTGTTTTTGCCCCCATTTGTCATGAGCTGAACTCAAAGATCTAAGACTTTTTCTATGTACACAAAAGGCCTATTTCTCTCAAATATTGTTCACAAATCTGTCTAAATCTGTGTTAGTGAGCACTTCTCCTTTGCCGAGATAATCCATCCACCTCACAGGTGTGGCATATCAAGATACTGATTAGACAGCATGATTATTGCACAGGTGTGCCTTAGGCTGCACTGCAAAATAAAATAAAAAAAACCGACTTTGTCTGCTTGGCCAATTTACAAAAGTATCTAATTAGTAATTGATGCATAATTACTGTTGAATAACTCATATTAACTGACCACATATCAACTGTAAATTTCATTTAATTTAATGTATTATACTGCATTATACTTTTTAAAGGTGTAAATATGAATATGTGCATATTATAATGTCAAACAAGGATAGCATTGTGTATTATAATGTATTATACAGTAATTACAGGTTTTACATAAAGTGTCCCCCAACAAATCAGTGTCTTAACTTCATATTAACTGCAATAATGGCTGCACAATGAACAAATAAATAAATAAAACAACAAACACATTTGTGAAAAAATGCGCATATTCCAGAAATGCCGTTTGTCTCTCACCCATTGAAGGCCTCCATATTGTTGATGAAAGGAAAGTAAGCTGGCTCGCAGATTAGACCGGAATCCCGGCAGGTTTTCACACAGGACGAGGCCTCTGTAGACAGGAAGAGCCGGAGGGCGCTGAGGGGCGGCCAGCAGGCCGGAGCAGTGATGTTCGGAGCCCAGATCAAAGCTGTGGAGTTGGGCCGCTGGAGGAAAGGACTGGGTGGATTCCCAGGCCATGATCTGGATTCATTGGCTGTAGGGAATGGACTGCTGTGGCGACAAAAATCCTGGAAAAAAACACAATGAATGTGACTATGACTGAAAACATCTTTGTAAGAGAGCCTTATAATAACTTGTCACTGATAGAGAATTGAAATAATGTAAACTGCTATTTTACAACAATTTTGACATGGTTCAACCAGTCAATTCTATCAGAATTTATAGTCAAATTTTTTTTGCCAAAATAATAACAACACTAAGTAAAAAAACAGAGCCTAAAGCTTCCCACACACTATCAATTTAGTCAGAATAAATTCTCACAATAGCATGTTTAAGTCAAAAGAAAGACAAAAAGAAACCGAAAATGAGGCATATTTTTAGGACCATTAACAATTGGACTGACATTTTCTTGACAATTAACATTAAATTAAATTTTTGTGTGTTTCTTTTTAATTTAATATTACATTCCCATTATTTTATTAATAAAATAAAATAAAACTAACAATGCAAAGGCTTTAATACTAACCAGACATAAGGTCTTTTCACACATTGAGGCAGTTGACAAAACAGTAGTGCGCACTTCTAATACACCAAATGTTATCATGCATTGGTGTAGACGCTAATATAGTTATCATTATAGTTATCTTTATAATTATCTTTCTTGGTGTTTATAGTCTGTTTACTTAACTCAAAAAAGCTGTATCATATACTTTCAACAGTGTCATTTGGCAATAAATGGATCACATTTTCAATAATCATTATTGCCTTTTAACCTCTATTTAACATTTTCCCCTTTAATTAACTATTGTTTAATTAACTAAAAAAAATGTATACTTCCAAGGGTTTTCTTTAAAGGAGACACAATTATGCCTGTAATTCAAAGGGGTCATTTTAGTTTCTGGATGTTATTTTCCAGTTTGAGCTCAAAAAGGTGGGAGTGAGTGTTGAAGGTGTGGAACAAAGCATTCAGCGTTGTTCAGGATCTCAAAAGTGTGCGTTTCACTTTATGTGCCCACATCAAATCCCCGAGGCAACTGACTAGCAAGCTCAGCATATACAGTGGGTACGGAAAGTATTCAGACCCCCTTAAATTTTTCACTCTTTGTTATATTGCAGCCATTTGCTAAAATCATTTAAGTTAATTTTTTTTCCTCATTAATGTCTACTAAATACTGAGCATTTTTCAGTTTTTCTTTTTTAATAAATTTGCAAAAATGTCAACAATTCTGTGTTTTTCTGTCAATATGGGGTGCTGTGTGTACATTAATGAGGAAAAAAAATTAACTTAAATGATTTTAGCAAATGGCTGCAATATAACAAAGAGTGAAAAATTTAAGGGGGTCTGAATACTTTCCGTACCCACTGTACGTAGTTAGTTCACATCATAGGCAAAAATATGCTTACGCTTATTCTCTTACATTTTTGTCTGCGTGTGCATGTGTGTGTAACACAGATCATAGACTTGCACCGCTCTCAATTCACACACTATCTGTCCTAAATATTATACAGCATAAAGAGAAGTGTGTCCCAAATCATAAAAAAAAATTATAATATTAAAGGTTCCTGCATGATGCCAGTGTTGCAGTTTTCCCAAACAATTCAGTTTATTTTGAAAATTCAGGGTTGCCTTTTTTTTTTTTGAGCTACTTATATAATGTACCACAGCTGCCAAAAACTTTATCTGTTAACTATAGGAAAAATAAAAATATGTCCTTTTACTAATGTGTGTTAATCCTTGGAATGAATACCTGAACAATCTAGAAGTTATGTGAGTTTCGCCCACTCGGGGAATTTTAAGGCTGGCTAATTGAGTTTGACATTGTTGTAGCGAATCAGCTCATGGGGAAAAATGGTGTGTCTGATTGGTCCAGACGCTACATTGTAAATTAATTGCGCATTGAAGCTTGTGTGCAGACAAAACAAGAGAATGTGAAAAGTAAAGAGTATGTAGGCTATTAATAATGGTCTTGACTGAGATCAGAATATAGTTTTTCATTTATTGTAAGATGTGTGCAATCTACAGTACAGTGTGTTAAAAGAATTGGGGGAAGTGCACTCACAATATACATTTTAAGGCAAAACATTTTAATCAGATTTTTTAAAAAAATCTGCTAAATCTATAATCTGCCGAATGCGTCTATAAGGCATAAAAATACTGTATATGCCTTTAATAATAAGCATTAACATCACCATTTTCTCTAAAGCTGCTTTAAAATGATGTGCATTGTGAAAAGCGCTATATATATATATATATAGCCTAAATTTGACGACTTTTATGGATGGACATGTCAGTTTATCACACTGTGACAGATATATTTGAAACATTTATCTCTGCAGCTGTCAATGTAATAGGACATGATAGAAAAGGCTACTTTTCATTCCCTTTGGGTGAGTTTTGAGTTGACTTTGGGCTGGATTTTTTTCTGGGACCTGGCAACCCTGCTGAATTATATGCTTTTCCCAGTGTGTATCTGTGCATGTTGTTGGGCTATTGTTGTGCCATTTTCTCATGACTTCACGTTTCTGTGGCTCCAGAGTGATTAGTCACATGGCATTTTTGGCTTGAGTGATTGGCTCAAAAATAGACCAGAACTGATAATCCATTAGCAAAGATGACAGAATTCAAATAGTGTATTTCTGGATATTTCTGGAGGTTGTTAGCAAATGGCATTAAGGCAAATGGATCAATTTCTCCTTAACTATTTATGGTTTTTTATATTTGTTCTTCAATAGCATTGTGCCTGAAATGCCTACATACCTGATGTTGTATGTAAGCATTCACTCTCTCCAGCATGCCCTCACAAGTGTACTCGTACGGTATAAAGGGCTCCACCTGTGCAAACGGACAAGTGACAAAAGACACAGGCAGAAACTTGAGACTATTTTTGCAACAAACTTCAACTTATGCACCAAACACATTTTTTATTTTTATTTATTTATTTATTTTTTGTTTGTTTGTTTAAACAAACAGGAAGAATGCTCTAAGAAATCTTGTCTTTTGAAGTTATACGACAGATTTGTATGTAGAACTGTCTCAAATTAATGTTGTTATACAGTAGATGGGAAAACGATAGCAAAAAAAAACTTTTGCTTATGACCCATGAAAACAAATGAAGTCAAATTCAATATGTCAAAGAAAGAAAGAAATTAAATGTAAAATATATGGAATGATGTGAGCATGAGTAAATCAAGAAACAATTGTCATTTGTCATTTTCCTTGACGGAATACACAAATTTACCTGGCAACAGTTGGTATACTTCCATGTTGTTTTTTTTATACTTGGCCCAAAATGTTGTCTTGCCAACTATATATTTTTTTCCCCAACCAATCAATCAATCAATCAATCAATCAATCAATCAATCAATCAATCTATCTATCTATCTATCTATCTATCTATCTATCTATCTATCTATGCAAGCAACACATAACAAAAATCTTCACAGCAAGTCTTTTGAGGAAACAAACATATTACCACTGTGGAAACAAAGTACTAATAATATGATTTTGTTTGCTGCTGACCATTTTAGAAGCACTGCCAAAGATTATAATTTGATGACGAATCACTACATGTGAAATGTCGAAACTCAAACCAAGATGAGACTGACTGATATTTTGTGCATCTCTACAACTGAAAACCTTTGTTCTCTACATTCAAAAACATGTTTTTGTCTTTGTTTACTTGCCCAATTTTTGCACTGTTGATGAAAAAAAAAAAAAAAACCTTCATAGCGATTTCAAACTTTTGAAAGGTACTGTATGTGTTCCCATAACAATGGGACATTTCTGCTCAGAGAAAGCAACTGAAGACTAAACCAACTAAATGGTAAGTTGTGGTGTTTAATTGGCACCCATAAGAGATTTATACAACAAAAGTTGAAAGCATCTCCAACTCTTCCTCCTCCAACAACTAGACATTTCTTGATGACTGTATATACATTGCAAGGCAATCAATCAATCAATCAATCAATCAATCAATAAACATGGACATCCTACATATCTATATATATCCATGCAACAACCTGTGTTACACAGACTGTAACAGAACTGTAACAAAGAAAACTAGTTTACCTTCTCTTTGAGAATATCTTGAACAGCTGTCTCGAATTCTTGAGAGCTGTTGAAGTCTACTGTTATGACGTGGGGTTTGCCGATATACTGTTCAGTGTATGGGTGCTGAGATGACACCTGATGAGAAGAAGAAAACATGAGTGCTATCTATCATGAGTTCACTACACCGATTCATCAGCTCCAGTTCATTTTCACAGTTCACAGCTTTTGAGGATTTGAAAAGCAGGATTATATGAACAGCAGAATTGTGTGCCATTCAGAAATGAATAGATGGTATAGATGGCTATGTTACATGTTTTAGGAGTACTAAACTTTTAGTTTGGAGAAACGTGTCCAGAAATAAATATCAGGAATAAACACATACTTTAAAGAAATTCCAAATGAATGATATAATACAATTATGTTTTGTAAAAAAAGTTTGGAACTGAGTTGGACTAATTAGAGTTGTTTGACTTTTAAAAAAAATGTTCTTGCATAATGGCCACTCTTTGAATTGGGGACGGATACAGTGAGCAGACTGCGCTTACCTCTCTGGACGTGGGCTTCCCTCTGAAGAACTCATGGTTGAGGGAGCTGTGAGGGGGGCTGAACTTTGGCTGCAGGAACACACAGCCATTGGCTATTGCCTCTAAAGGGGCGGGACCTTCATAGGGAAAGCCAAACCCCAAGAAGAGCTGAGAGAAAAGTAATGTTTAGGATTGTTAGGGTTATTAATTAATTACAAGTTTAATCAAATTACTACATATTATCATTAATCAAAACACTGTTAATGACATGTATGAATATTTGATGAGGAAAGTATAAGTGTACATGCAGTAATTGCTCTACTGGTAGAAACATTTTCTTAAAATGGAATCTGCAGGAAGGTCAGGGGGCATAAGCTATTTTTTAACACATTAATTTATTGAATATTTAAAAAAAAAATATTTACTGAATGTATATTTTAACAGTCCTAGTGCTGGTTAGTAACTGATCTGAATTATGTAATCAGATTCCAAAAAAAAAAAGTATAATTGCAATTTGATAATATGCTCATACTCAAATCACAGTTACTTTTTATGGATTACATATTATTCACACGTCAAACTGACTGCATTTGTGTGGCAAAGTTATATAGTTTTGTGAATTATATGTGTACTAAATGTGCACAAGGTAATACCTTTTTAGACTGTTAATGTGCATTTGTAATGCCAAAATTGCCTGTTCATAATATTATGCAAACATATCTGAGTCTACATCTGTATCACTGGGAAAAATTCCCTTTGTATTTTTTATTTTTTTTACCATGTATAATTTTGCAATCAACACCGTTGGAACAAAAGCACCACTCAATCCTTAGATCATGTATGAGACCAGTAATTACGCAAGTTACTAAACACTGTGTTATTTAAACTGCATTATCGCTTAGATGTGAAAGTCCATCATGCTAACAGTACCTTAGCCTTCCTCAGAAGCTGCTGTAGCTCCTGTTGGGGCAGTAAACCGTGGTTCCTGACAAATGCGGGCACCTCTGGGGGCCGCTGGGCCTCATAGTAAACTGTCCCGTGGATGTCCATGTAATGGTGTAAGATGGTCAACAGCTTCTCCTCACCCTGCAGGAGCATAGAAAGCAAGAAAGAAAGACTAGTGTGTCTCTTGATGCCTCCTACTTATTAGTCCCATATGAGGTCCCTATTTATGAGTTCATAAATTGTAATTACTATGTCATAATGCAGTTCAAATGATTCTGGGAAAATAAAATAAAAAATATATATGTTATTTTGGTCACAAAGCATCTTAATGAAGTGAAAAATATGTGCATTGCATTTAATTGTTGCTTTGTCACTATTTTAACATTGTACTGCCACACAGAATTATGGGAAATGTAGTTCAGTCACACTATAGTCTGTGGACTTTTCTTAACCAGCTAAATGAATAGTGTTTTCTGGCATGCATTATAGTTGTTTCTAACCAACAGTAAATGAAATGCATACAAATTGTGCATTAAAGAGTGGATAGTTTCATGTCTGACTCGAGATCAGCACAATGGACAGCGCTTTCACAAAAGCACAGGCTACAGATGAGAGCTGTGAAACTCACTCACCGCTGCGTACAATTACAACACAACAGCAGAACTGCTACAGTTTTCCATTAGTATTTCAGGAAAAGTGTTTAATGCTTTTACCTTTGACAAAAAAACAAAGAGTCTGATCTGATGTAGCCAGAACCCCCGCAGCAATAATTCACTCCTGTTGTCGCTCAATAAAGAGCTCAGCAGAGCACAACACTTCATTTCCCTGTCTTTGTGTGTGCATATGCATGTGCATTTTTGCATGGTTTCTGTGCATATTTGACCACAATATCTGCACAATTCTGATTACAAAACTTATACAAATGGTAGTGACTTAAAGAAGTATTTACACACTGAGTTTTAAATGACATCAGAACCAGCAAGACCATTGACCACAAATACTAGCTCTGGCTCACAAGGTGATTCAAATAAGAATATTAGTAAAAAGTAAAAATACCAAAACACATCAGCATCCATTTATTATGCTGGCAAGAAAGCTGAAGAAATTATGTGTTAGGAATTTATTTTACTCTAATATTGGTTATTAAATCAGCATAAAGCTTATTCTGGACATTTAGATTTCCCATTTGTGTATGCATTTAACCAAAAAATAAAAAATAAAAATTGTTAATAAGGTGGCGTTTTTCCAATCTGACACTTGCCCAGAATTTTGGCATCCCTATTTTTGATGTTTCTATTTTCATGTCATCACACACCATGTTCTCTGGAAAATAATGAAAGTTCTCCTAGATGTGCAGTAAAAGAGGGGTATGAATTATTTACTTATTTAAATCATTACTCCTTTAATAATTCATACATCTCCTCAGGCAAGTGTTACACCTAATTTTTTAGATCACACCATTAAGAGTTTTGGAGGCAAGCGCCTCCTCTTGAGAATAAAAACACATTTGGCTCTTTTCCTTGCACAGCAAAAGAACCACTGCTTGTTCTCTTTGCTCTCTCATGCATGCTTTAACAAATAGCATACTCTAGTTCTTAAAACAAAATGACTGCAACTGTTCAAAGTTTACCTTCTGGACATTTATGACCGAATCTTTCTTGCGTGAACCAAAATTGCTTCTCCTCTTTGCGGTAATGAACGTGCGATTGAAGAATAAGCATAACAGATGACATGCTGTTTCAAACAACGGCGTGGCATTCAGAAAATCAATGTAGGGCCTCGTTAAGGTTCGCATTAAAGATTTCTGTCTGTCTTCGGAAAAGCGGCACTACCTTAATGACATCTCTGTATCGATCTCTGGATGCAAACATTAGTTAAACAGCACTGAGGATGAAACATCATTATAGAAATCTGGAACAATCGATCATTCTAAATTAAACAAATTAAAGCTTATTTGTGTGTCAGCAAGTTCATTTATATGAAACTCGTTGACTTAAATTATTCATTCCAGTGCCGCTTTCAGAATCTAAATCGAATCTTCTTAAAGGGGTCATATGATGCTGCTAAAAATAACAGTATTTGGTGTAATGAAATGTGTTTATGCGGTTTAAGGTTAAAAAAACACATTATTTTCCACATACTGTACATTATTGTTTCTCCTCTATGCCCCGCCTTTCTGAAACGCGTCGATTTTTACAAAGCTCATCGGTCTGAAAAAGCGAGGTGTGCTCTGATTGGCCAGCTATCCAGTGCGTTATGATTGGCCGAATACATCAAGCGCGTGACGAAAATGTTACGCCCCTTGCCATATTGTGATGATGCCCTGTCAGGCCGGAGCGATGATTCAAAAACATGAAAACCCATTATAAACGAGGCATTCGTTGCATCAGTGGGGACATAATTATGGATTATAATAACTTATACTGTCTTTTTACGCGTTGCATCACGCCGTGTAAACATAAAACCATGTCTGCATTTGTGATCAGAGAAATGACAAACAACAAGCCCTACTCTACACTGCCCAAAAAACTCGCTTTAAATATAAAAAAAAATAAAATATAAAAACTCTTTAAATATAAAAAACGTACTTACAGTCTGTGAGTCAGAACAGCCGACATTGTAGTCTACTCTTGGAAGTAGGTATGTGGGGGCGTGTTCGAACGAGCCGTTTTAGGTAGGTGTGGCTGACTCTTAACTTTTATAAAGAATATCTCTTTGGATTTGAGACTTTAGTCTTTGCAACTTTACAGATCTTCTTTATGCACCAAGAGCTTGTAACACTCCAAAGAGAAAGGAAAAATTGAAATCGCATCATATGACCCCTTTAAAAAAAAATTTAAATCATGCATTTGCTTGTGCAGGTATACTACAAAGTTTGCATTGTAAAACTAGCTCCCCAATCTATCTATTTACTGACACTGAGCTGTAAAACAGCTAATTAGTGCTTACTAAGTTATTCAAAACCTCTAGTCCTAAGTAATAAACTTCAGTGTGTAACACACGCCACACTGCCGATTCCCCAAATCCTGCAACTTGAATGATCAGACAATTTTCAGCTTGCGTACGATAAACTGGGTGAACAAATCCCATAGATTTGCGTTGAAGAAGGTATCTGAGCCCAGAATATAATAGAGTCTTGGGGGTGGGCTTTTCCAACTCTTTTTGGCAGAATGAGGATTACCAGCCTTAGCAGAAGAAAATAAAAGAGACTCACTTTCTTTTCTAGGCAAATAAAGAACACTCTCCCTTTCTTGACACATATGCTATTCAGGTGCTACAATTAAGTGCTAAAATGCATAACTTTTGGCTGATGGTAATATCTTAATAATATCTTATATATGATCTTATATATAATACATTAACTAATATCTGACTTCATTGCCTGTATTGAATGAATGAATCATCAATCAATCAATCAATCAATCAATTAATGTCATACTAAAATGTCACACACACACACACACACACACACATCAGTTGAGCTTCTACCTAGACATTTAGAAAATCATAACTGTACATATATTACCATTTACAAGTTTGGGGTCAGTAGGATTTTTTTTTCAACCAAAGACAAATTAAATTGATCAAAGATGATAGAAAAGACATTTACAATGTTAATGTTTCAAATATTCTGAAACTTTCGTCTTATCAAAGAATCTTACAAAAAAAAAAAATCCAACATAAATGTTTTCAACATTCTCAAATATATTAAAATAGAACAAAGTAATAATATTTCAGAATATGAATCTATTTACTGTACAAATAGATGCAGTCTTTTGCAAAGAAGTGCAAATACTTAAAACTCACACTCATTATATTTTAGATATTTTAGTAATTAAGCATTCCCATGACTTTCTGATGTATTTTAGTGCAAGAGGTAAAAAAAAAAGAAAAAAAAATCAATCAAGTTATGTTTATGTTTAACCCACAGTTTTACCAAGAGGGATTCTGGACCAGTGAGTTGCACCTCACAATTTTGGCTTGTTGGGACAAAATGGAATAATATGTATGTATGTATGTATGTATTTGTTAATTTGTTATTTGCTGCTTTATTTTATAGGTTCTGTTTGAATGTAGTCTTTAATTGGCCTTTACATATTTAAGGTATCCATGCCTTTTGACCAATGAATTTCCATGACTTCTGTAGTCATTCATGATATATATATACACACACACACACACACACAAACCAACTTTTCATTTGCATAAAAATATATACATATAAAACAGAATGACAAATAATTCAAAATAATATACAGCAAAACTACACATTCATACTCATACTGTCAGACTCTGTTCCATGTGTTGTGTGTGTCCTGCTCCCCATGTGCCTTCCCATGCCCTTATTTGATTAGTTTCCTGTTCCTCCCCTGATTAGTTTAGTTCATTTGTCCCAGGTGTTCCCCATGATGTGTCATTGCTCCCAGGTGTGTCTCGTGATCCCCTCCTCCTGTGTGTATTTAAAGTGTTCCCAGTCCCTACTTCTC